GGGCCCTGGCTGCGCCATGCCGGGCGACGTCACGGTCCTTGATTTTAATCTATTCATAAAGGGCTTTTGAACTGCTCTTAGTCTGACCCGTCACCCAGGACCTGTTTGCCTTGGGAGACCCTACCAGGGACATATAGCCCCCGACAACATAGCTCCTAGGATCATTCGGGTACTCAAACCCCTCCACCACAATAAGGTGGCGGTTCAAAGAGGGGTCTAAGTTTCTTTCATTTTCTTATTTATTTTTGTTTTTTTATTTTCTTAATCTGCCTCTTACTGTGAGTGATGGGATTCTACTGTACATTAAATCAAGATGTACTGCTACATTTAGAACGGTTTTTGTCATTCATGAATTTTTATCTCTAGTTTTCTTTGTGTTCTTCTCATTAGTTTGAAGCAGGGTGTCTCAGATGGAAAAAGATTTCAATAAATCGGTAATGTGACAGTTGTGGGACTGTTTGCTTCTGTTGCCAGACCACTGTCAAAATTCAATCAAACCACACCTACACAGTCACAAAGATGCAGATTAGTCTTTGATTGTTGCCTATTTAGTCTTGAAATATGGTAAAAGAAAAATACTTCAGATTTGAAACCAAACTTTCAGTGACTGTAATATCTACTGCTTTCTTCAAATATTGAATATGTGAAGAGGGAGGCCCAGAGTTAATGAAAAAGTTAAACAAGTTGTTTCAAGGGATGTAATATTCATATAACCAACATATACTTCATGAAGTAGCAAACTGTGTTCAGTGGATTTATCCTCATATGATTGTTGTTGCGTAACAGAAAGAAGCCCTTGCTCTTTAAGTCTTAACAACCAAAGCTTGACATTTCCCACTGTTGTCCTAAATACCTTTATTTCATTTCCACAATATCTTTGCAGGAAACAACACAGTGTGACACTGTGAGGAAAACATATATGAAAAGCTACATCACCAAGTGTTCAATTGTGCCTTTTAACCTTTTAGGAGTTTAATGTTGCCTTGAATTAGGTGAATGTTATTTCAACCTTTCTTTTCCTGCCAAGGAGGAAACTATAGGGGAACTTTTACCATTCAAATCACTATTATTGCAAAATATTGGACACATTAGTCTAAAACCTTTGTCAACTTTGTCCTTCACATAGGATTCCTGGTTGAACAATAGTTACTAATAGTTGCCGACCTATCTGTTTGCTTTGTTTGACAGGCTCAGCACAGGTGGAGCACTCAGTAACTCTGCAGGTCAGACTTAGCTGGTCTCCTTTGGGAAACTAACACACATGCTGGCTCCCTGTGGTCAACCCATATAAACACATGAGAGGGAAGGAACACAGACAAACCATGAAAAAGATATACATTGGCAAAACCGCCTTAAAAGTCCCCCGAAATGGCGGCAAACATCCAAAAAAGAGGTAAGAGTGAATCTCTCAGATGCCATCTTTCCATCCCTCCTTGTTTTTATCTGTTTGTCTGATCATCTGCCCACAAGATGTCTCCTCTCACCATCCAGCGGTGCCTCATCCCACCTCTCCGAGCCCAGAAGTCATGTTGCCTTGTCATCTCATCTCACTGAAATGAAAGCACTCATGTCTGACTCAGCTCCTGTTCACAGAGGAGGTCACTAATGGGGGATTTTTCATCCCTGGAACTACTTCACATAAATCCATCTTCTATCAAACAACAAACACCTGTATTCCCCTGCTAATGCCTGCCAATCAAAGAGAAGCAGGAGGTTGGGGAGGTGGGGGCTGCTGGGCAACGCAGCATTAAAATGCCATCCAGTCAGTGGAGACATTCACTGGATCATTGTGTAGGCAGGTATTTCTTACTCACTGACTTGGCTGCAGATGCTGCAGCTTTCCATATAAACTGTGGTTTTTAAGAAAACAAGCAATATTTAAGGTCAAGTGGGAAATGAACATTTCCGATTTCACTTCTACAAGGTGAAGCACTTTTTATTCAGCATTTAGCCCATTATGACTGGACTTGTACAAACACTTCTTCATGCAAAGTTGTGCTGGAGGCAGAAATAATTTTATTGGTTGAGTTAGAGGACAGAAAGTATCAGGATTCCTCACAAGCACAAGTTAGCTAGCTGGCAACTCTGAGAGGGACTGTGGTTACAATGAAATAAGAGTCAATTATTTTTAATTTATGACTTTGTTACCTGTAGTGTTGCAACTTGGCAAGCCGTTAGCTAGCTTGTCTGAGACATTAAGCAGCTAATGCAGAAGTTAGTTAAGCTACTGCAAAAGGAATGAAATACTGTAGAAAGCCGATGCTAGTAGCCCTTACTCCTCCCCCAGATGCTGGATGCTAAGCAGCAACTGGAGAGGTCACAGCGTGAAAAAGACCTATCAGTGGCTTTTAGCAATCACACCTCAGCTCAGCTGTTATTCACAGTAAGTTGGTTCCTTGAACTCTTGTTCAAAGACCAAAAGCAGTGACTGTATGTGATAACTGTGGCAGATAGGTACCATAGAACGCTGCAGCATTATGAACAATGAGGCATTCACTTTTTACTAATTTATGAACAGAAGTGTATTTGAATGGTGATGCAGTTAGGTTGGAAAAAAGTACCCAGACAGTAACTGAGGTAGAGTATCAGATCACAAGTGCTGATGTGAGTAGTTTCTGGAACACACGCAGCAAAACAAATGGCCTCATTTGTCATTTAGATATGAGGACGTGTAGACTCATTGAAATTGAAATTAACCCATGAGATTTTTGTCTCTATAACAGCTCTATGTCTGAGAAATGTATCTTTCTTTAGCACACATTCATCTGCATCTCCACCATATTGGAGCGATGCAGATGAATGTTTTTTATACAAGACCTACAGGCATAAGCAAAAATATATGTCTACCCTTATATACCATTGGGTTTTGAATGACTGAAGTTAATAACCCCGTTAAAGAGGTTTACAGGGACAAAAAATTCATCTAAAACTCCCAACTTTAACATTTAGTTTAACCCAGGGGTTTTCAACCAGTGGTCCGCGTCCCCCCGGTGGTCTGTGAAGGGGTCACAATCAGTTGAAATCCACTCCACTTTTTTTGCAGTAATATTATCATGCATATTAATTAAATAGATTCTAAATGATATCCCCACTTAGTAAAAAAAAAAATATCCCTGGTTTACTGTCTCTGTGTTCCTCAACCCCCCCCCCCCCCCTCTCTCTTTTTCCTGATAAATGAAAAATAAAGGGGCAGAGAGAAGAAGTGAAAAGAGTGACATGACCACATCACCATCCTTGTTATCCGACTACAGATAGAGTCATTACCCTCTTTCCTCCATCTGTCTGTCAATACAGGGTCCATTAAGCAACAGACGGCAACAGACATTCCCTCTTTTCCCACTCACACTTGCCCTTTTATTAGATTGAAACCCAGCTAATGCACATACTCTAAAAATAGCCATCATAAATAGCCATTATCGTGCTGCCTCGCCGAATCACGTGGGGGGTATCGCTGTCCCGTAAATTTGAGCCTTCACAGTTTATTCATATGATGTGTTAGAGTTCATTACCTCATATTTCATCACAGATTACACCCTCCATTTTTTCAGTCGGACCAATCTCACTGATGATTGAGTTTCTGTGATGTGCTTGCAGAGCTTTGATACTGAAAAAAAATTCATCTGATGTGCAAAGATGCTCTGAATTCTTGCCTGGATTCTTAATTAGAGATCTGTGTTTTGGCCCCATGTTTTCATCATACAAAGCACTTTTGCATACAAGTTTTCTGCTTTATCACCCTCTCATGATGTTTTCATCACTGCTGCATGGCCATTCAGGGGTGCATTAAAAAGATATGTAGACCCTTAAAAGTTAATTTAGATAACCATGTACCCAAGTTACAAGCTTGTTTCCTCCACCACATGCCCTGAACACAATCATCTACTGTGTGTGTGTGTGTGTGTGTGTGTGTGTGCGCAGCTCATTGCTGGAGCAGAAGGAGGACTTACGGAAGAGGCTTTCCTACACAACACACAAGCTGGAGCTGCTGCAGAACGAGTTTGACTCCACACGGCAGTACCTGGAGACGGAGCTGCGTCGAGCACAAGAGGAACTGGACAAGTTTACTGACAAGCTGCGCCGGTAGGCCCCCATACTGCACAACACCGAGAATATAACGAATGGTTGTGTGACACATAAGGTTTGAAAAACTGTTAGGGGATTTTGGCCAACATTTCTTCATCTTCATTTCTTCACCTGTTTTTTAAAGATCTTTCTCTTCTGTCTTTTCTTAAAACAAACCTGAACACAACAGGGCACATACAGAGGATTCAGCAACAACAACATACTGTAGTCCATAAATCAAATCTCAGAAGTCCACTTAACAAGCTTCATTTCTTGGCCTTCATCAGTAAAAGAAGTTGGCTCAGATCTCTTCATGACAAGCACCTTCCATACACAAGTACAAGGTGCTTAACCTCAGCATAAAAGTAAATGATCAATATTATTAAATACACCAATCAGCCATAACGTTATGGCTACCTGCCTAATTCTGTGTACACAGGAGTCAATGCAGCAGTCGTGTCACTCTGCAGCTCAATGTGCATCTTCTGTGAATCTGTTTGCTTCCATAGTTCTACTGTCAGGAAGAGCACAGATGTGTTGACTATTCAGTGAAAAACTAAAAGGAATGGAAACTGTATTCGTGAGGACAAGTTAGAGATCACCACTCTAGTGGTGAGGCTGTGAGATCACCACAGCAGTCACTGAAAGTTTCTCTTCATAAAGACCAGTGTACAGTGTTTCTCATTTTCAACCATTTTAAAGAAGAGTTAAACTAAATGGAATCATCTGAAAAGGATGAATGAAATTTACAAACTTAATCTACAGTAGATTAACCTCATCATCAGGTTTAGCTTGAGACCCCCAGTAGGCCCCCAATGGGACAGGGAGTAAGCAGCAGCCCAAAATGTTGCCCCACATTGCTTATCTCTGTGTCCTGAATCACAAATAATACAACACAAACAGTACAACTTTCTGGCTGCTGCAGTTCACTATACAGTATGAGCATATACAAACTATTATCTGCAAGTAAGCGGATGTTGTTTGTCGTGTCGTTTAGAATACAAAGCGGCTACTCAGCACTGCAGAGAATCAACCAAGATCTGGAGGAAAAGATCCACAGAAATGTAAGTTTTTAGGCTTCTGTGTGTGTCTGTGTGGGATTGTGTGTGTGCACATGTCTGTATTCAGTCATATGAGTTCCTGTGCTGGCGGTGTAGACCTGTAGACAGAAGAAACAGAAGCACGTAAGCAAGTCATGGGGTTTAGGGATGGTGTAGAAAACTCAGAGAGCCAATTTGAATATGAATGTCCTGCTCGTGGTACCAATGACGTTAATTATGGCTTATTACAATTGGCTGTCCTCCTTCCAGTGGCAAAGAGAAAGCAGACCCATTGTTCCTCAGAGCACCGTACCGCACTTAATTTGTCAGACAGTGCTTTAGATGGTGGAAAGATACAATTAACTAGCCTGCCTGAGAACACTGTATGACCATCAGGTGTCTTTGCTGTTGAATAGACAGCTGAAAATGTTCTCAGCGAATGGGTTTGTTACAGCTCAAGAGAATAATCATTGTGGCCGTTATGATTACAGTGCAAGATACCAGGTTCAGTTGATAGGAAGCTGAAGGTTGGCTTGTTGTGAAAAGAAAAATGGTCATTTTTAAAATACAGGCCAACAGCTTATTTTCCCCCCCTCTTGTGAGCACCATCATCAGCTGCTATTGATTCATCTCACATATTCCCTCCTCAAGGGTGAAAGAGGTGCTGAGTAAGTCCCTCTATAATCGTAAAGCTTGTTTACTCTGGAGGTGCCGCAAACCCATCTGACCCCTTGGCCCCTCACAGCTACAGAGCGTGTAATTACAAGACAGACAAACACAGTGATATACTGTACTGTGAGTGTCTGTGCTTCAGCTCACACAGCCTCAGTTTTCCCAGAGAGGAAAGTCTGAAGAGAAAAGACGAAACTTATGCATGCTTAAACCAACATAAGGCTAAATTCATTTTACTGCTGCTGTATGTATAGTAGAGTAAAGATTGGGCTGCATATTTCTGTCCGATCCTGACCCCAGGTCCAGCACATTTGGGTTATGTGCAGTGTTTATGCACTTTAAATTAGTCTACAGTAAAGAAAAAAACATGGCTAATCACTTTATTCACACACACACATAATTTGTTTCCGGTACAGAACCGAGGCAGCCTTCTGCGGCGCCAACTCACACTGATGGCTCTAACCATTGGGGGAAACTTGGGGATTCAGTGTCTTGCCCAAGGACACTTTGACATATGGACTGCAGGCACCGAGATTCAAACCTCCAACCCTCAGGTTGGAGATGACCGCTGTGCCCACTGAACCACAGTCATCCCTGGATGCATTTACAAGTGCAGTTACACATGTTTAGCATAAGGTTTGACCTACGTAACTGAACCTGACCTATTCTTGAGCAGGATTTCTAAATTTCTGTCTAAACTTGACCTGAATCCTCAGGTACAAACAGGTCGCGTTGAATTTCGTTCAAGTATTCATCTTCTAATGCAGGGGTTTTCAACTATTTGTTACCCAGGTACCACTATTCTGTCCAAGTGATAGACCAGATGAGCACTATTTTAATACTAAAAGTCACCCTTACTTTTCAAAATTTTATATATTTGAGTGAGTGTTATTACTCAAACACAATAATTAATATATAAAAATTAGTTCTGTGAGACTACAATATTGCAGATCACTAGTTCTAATGTATAGCACTAACCTCAAACTAATTTTTTGTGTCAGGTCTGCTTGAAATTATAGGAGGTAATGCACAACACAAAATGCAAAACCGCTTTCCCCTCTTTCCAAACAGCAGCAAAAAGGTTATTGTAGACAAATGTGGACTCTCCGGGAATCTCTGTCTTCATCAGCCAACACTTCTTTGCATTGCGCAGTTTCACAGTTACCCATAGTAACAAAAAAAGAGCTACAATATCTTATGCTGCCACTTAAACACTCTCAGGGTGTGAGGTTACATACTGTATTTTTGTGCATGAAACTGTGGAACTAAATATAAATACAGGACAGATACACAAATTGGCTGCATTTGTACTTGTATCAGCCGATATTTAAATGGAAAATTGTGGAAATAATGGATTTTGAAAGCTGCTCTTTTAAGACCTGATATCCAAAAGGTTTTTTGATTCTTTTGTTCTCTTGACAAATGTTTTGGTATATTGTCTTCACCTGTGTCAAGCTTATCTGCAAGTGTTCTTTTGCAGGAAAAGTACCAGAGTGAAGAACAAAATCCCCAAAGCATATATTCAGCAGCCAAATATAACAATTAAACATGAGCAAGTGAAATGCATGACAAATGGGCTCAATGTTGTGAACTACTGGAATTAGATCAGTCTCAACAAAAGCTATTAAATTTTTTTAATGCATGTTCGGATGAACAGGCTGAAAGCTTTGGAAGTAAATGTGAAAATCGAAGTGTTCGTACTGTTGGTTATTTCTAAAAGTCCTCTCTTGTTGTCGTCAGTCTCAGCACCATGATGATGAGAAGCGGGCTCTGAGCAGAGAGATCATCGTCCTCAACAACCACCTGATGGAGGCAAAGCTCACCATCGAGAAGCTGCGAGAGGACAATGTGAGTCAGTGAGCATCTGATGTCTCCTCTCGCTTTTAACCTTCTTTTCACACTTTAAACTCTAAAGCAACTCTGCACATGAGCTCCATTTTGTTTACTCTGTGGCAGTGGATTGCTGCTGGAATTCTCAGTGTAATTAATCTTTTTTCAACATGACAGGACAGTGTCCACTCAATTTCACTTTCCTGGGGTTCACGATGAACTCTGTTACTGTTACACTCTGAACTGTCCTCCAAGAAACAATGACAGGGAGGAACTAAAATGATTCTTGAATAAATAAGTGAATTAAATGTTACACATTTGGTCATCCTGGTCTAGTTCCTAAGGTTGCAGAAACACCCTGGGTCTTTCACTTCATGTGTAAAACCCACAGTCAGAAGTCTTGGGGGTCACGCTGGACCAAGTGTTGACCCTAGAGACCCTAGAGTTGACCCTTGCTTCTACTGCTCTTCGCAAAGCTGCACAAAAGCACCAGAGAATGAGTATCACAATGAAAGATACAGTACAGATCATGTTTGCGGCTTCTAACAGTCAGATTCAGTTCCACATTTCTGAAGAGATAAAGAAAGGTTTAGAGGGTAGAAGTAAGGTGTTTTCACTCAGTGGAGAATAGAAAAATAGTCAGCAGCAGCATTTTTCACTATTCATCCCTGACTGTGATCATGTTGTGCCTCTGTAGGATGCATACAGGAAGGACTGTAACCTGGCTGTTCAGCTGCTCCAGTGCAACAAGTCCCTTTACGGGGCCCAGCTCTCTGAGGTGAGCCTTACAATGACTTTTACAAGCCATTCAGTCTTTTATTCAGCCTCAAATCATATTTTTTCCAGTTGAATCCACTGTACCTCACATTTTATGTGATTCGGATTTCAATAAAATCCCTAGCAGTTTAAGTACATTCAGATTTTTACTTGACAAAAGTCAACCAGGGGTAAGAAAGGAAAAGAACCTCAGGTTATCACACTGACATTTGATGTGAACCCAGAAAATGACATACAAAAGAAAAAGCTATACTTTTCCAATACAGCAGTAGCCAGGTAATAGTGAAACATTTGGTAAAACAGCTGTGATTTGCGGTTAATGGAAGATACCAATGAGGTGTTTTCTCAGCAAAAATTGCTGCCTTGACTATAAGTGAAGGTCTTCTTTGCCCTTTGTAGGCAGTAGAGATTACTCACAAGATGTGGCGGAGCTACGACTGCTGTAGATAAGTGAAAGAGACAAGGTTTCAAAATGGTGGTAGCTAATACGACAGAGCTTAGAAAAGTTACAATCTAGACATAATTGTTTATATTATGTTGTGTTTATGGTATAAACAGTAGTTATGGTTTGAAAATCATTGATGGCCACTGACGAATGAGAAATCTTTGCCATTTTATATCTAAATGTATGATTCCTATCCAGGTACACTGAAAATAAAAAGTGAACTTGTTTCTGCTTAGTAACATTTCTTTCCAAATTACTGGGATCATTACTACAACTGACTGTTTTTTCTTGAAAATATGGTACTGTTCTGTCACAAAAATCACATTGGAGGCAAAGTTAACACCTACTGTGTGCTTTTAAGATGAAAAGTTACATAACATTAAAATACCTTTACTGTTTTTCCTTAAATATCTCGTTTAAAAGTAACATAAACTGCCTTGTGTTTTGATTCTCATGTTGTTCTTTTGGCAAGGAGCTAAAATTACATGTGGGCATAAATATAAAAAGTAACAGTAGCACAGATCTTGTACCCATCTGTGAGACAGGACTTGAGACTTTCTTCTCCTGTCACTAAATATAACTGTAATTCTTTGACAAAGATTAAGTGTGAAGCAGCACAGCAACTATTTCATGGCAAATTGTGCACAAACATGAGAGACTGCTAACCATTCAAGGACCTAAAGCTACAGTATGTGACAAATTACAAAGCCTTATAATGCTATGCTGCTTTTGCTTGTGAAAAGAGATGCATGTGGGTATTGACCACTACATCAGCCCTGGGCCTTATGCCTCACCCATGTGACGAGAGCGGCTTTTAAAGTTGGCAAGAGTCCACTAGGTCAAATAATGCCTCTCAAGTGTTTACCCATATAGCTGAATGGAAATATAAATGCAAATTGCATTTAGCTGCATAAGGCTCGTAAAACATCCTCCTGTGCATATACACACGCTCGTTGTATAGGATCTGTTATGTAGTGAAAAACTGTTCTGCGGTCTCACTGCCAAACATAATCGAGGTCAGAGGCTATACGTGCACTCACTGTATTTCCACGGGTCTGCTGGACCCGTGGGTGGAATCTAATCGAAAGCATATTGATGAATGGTGCTGCAGCATTTTGAGAATTGCGTTGGCTCCCTACTGAAGTGCTTTAATTGTTTGGTTTGCTGCGAAACAAACAGAGGGGGTATAAAATGATCGGGCTCGGATTTCGTAACATTACATAACAGCTAATTGTGATGAAAAATGTGTGGACAGTAGTTAAGTGGCGTTTAGTTTGGTCCAAGTTGTAATAAAACTGTTATGATAAAATGTCTTTTCATGTTTTTTTTGTGGTGTTTGTCTTTTCTCTGTCTACAAAGTTATAATTAGCTTGCCTCTCATTGCCAATTAGGAACAACTGATTAGAGTCCTGTTGATGATTTGCTGCAGTTCACTTATTTCTTGTTGCTATGGAGAGGCACACAGTGGATGGAGGCTTTTTTTTATTGAGAAGTGCACTGAATAGAACAATGTCTTTCTGTTCCAAGAACCTCAGAAGGCTCAGACTCAGTTCACCTTCATGTCAACAGATATTTTTCACTTCTGTTGAGGTTCCTGTCACTGAAAATCACACTGATTTTTTTTTACTGTAGTCACAAACATAATTATTCCAGTCAAAGTTAGGTAAATGCACAGGTGTGTGTTTTGGTGTCATACTCAGAAATCACCTACTGTACTCTGTGACATACTGACACACATACCGCTGTATACAGGGACAACAGAAGCTACAATGGAAAGGATAAAAACAAAAAGTCACATACATTAAATGAATAAAGAATAGTGAAGTATGAGCTGGATATCTTGCAAAAATGCATTGGAATACAGATTTCTCATGTTCAGGCCCCTTTACACTGTGCAGTTTTGGGTGGTAAACTCTTTGATCCTAGATCACACTGTGAGACACATGCACCGATGGCCCATATGGAGCTTTGGCAACCAAACACAGCCTGCGGTGAAATCCTGTCAGTGTCAGAAATTCAGGACAAGTTTCTCACAATGTGACTCCTGCTATGTATAATAAAACCTCCAAAGACACTGTAAGATGGCGACTACTCACTGCAATGACAATTGCTTGTGAATTGCATAAGCATAAAGTTTTCTGAAATGATGCAGAATTTTGTAACAACATACTGCTTTTGAATAAAGTATAGGGGAAAAAACATGGGCACACACAAACCAAAACCATGGAGGCAAAAAGAAAAGTCTGTGGGGCTATGGAAAAGAACTGTGCACAATCTGACACAAATCGCAGCCAAGATTTTATGACACACATTTCTCAGTGTGAGATGTATGTACACAGTAAACACGCCTAAAGTAGTCACTAGAGCAAACAGTAACCCTGTGCTACAGTGCAGCTCCATCTATTGGTGCAGCAGCATTTATATCACACTTTTCTCTGCCCCTCCCTTTTCTCTGACACTTCTAGCTACCTGCTGATTTTCAGGAGCGACTGACCATGCACATGGAGGAGCCTCCTCTCTGTCACACCTACTCCGACCCTGTCCCGGCCTCTTTAATCGCCACAGTGCTTGAGAAGCCAGACGAGGCTTGCAGCAGCAGCCAGGCCTCCCGCTCCCCCAGCCCCCAAGCCCAGGACCATACTTTAATTTTGGAGAGCTTGGGCCCAGGAGAGCGCTTGGGGCTCCGTGCAGCCTATAAATCTGACCTGTACAGTAGCGACACGGCCCTGTACTGCCCTGATGACCGCCATCGCGAGCGGAGGCCCAGCATGGATCTTCATGGTCAGAGGAAACTGCTATATGGGCCCCAGAACTCCACTGATAGTAACCCAGAGGAGGGATCAGTAGGGCTGAGAGCTGGCTTCCCCCAGGAGCACTTTGCTAAGTTTCCTGCCACAGTGGGTGCAGGCTCAAGCTCCTACTCCAGCTTCAGTGGAGGGGGGTCAGAAGACAAAGGCAATGGCCCACCCAGCAGTGCAGCTTCCTCCCCTCGCCATCATTCCCTCTACATGGAGTGGAGAGATGCAGGGGACTATGAGCGAAAGAGTGATTCATCCTGGGAGGGGGACAGTCCGAGAGGCTTTGCCAATGCTCATCCCTTCCAGCAGACAGAGCTAAGCCACCACCAGAACGGCAGCTCGCCCGTCTACAGCCGTACTATGTCATCCTGTTTCAGTGAGCCCTATGAGCCGCTTCCTCCCTCTTCATCCCCAAGCGTTGCCTACGGAGACAGTCGTCGAGGCAGTACATTAGCCCCTGAGGAGGAGGAGCTAATTGGTCGATGGAGACAGCTTAGTGTGGAGGACTTAAGTGCCCACACCTACCGCAGCCCAGGCCGGGCCTCGCCCTACAGTTTCTCAGAGCAGCACTTCTCTGTCCGGCCTGCTAAGATCCGACTCGGGCCGCTCTACAGCAGTTTCCAGGAGGGGGCTGACTATTATCATCACGGCGTGGATGTCATGGACCCAGTGTGGGTAGCTGCCAGCCCCAGCCCCGAATGCAGCCCAGGGCTGCGGCAGGCCCCCCACCCAACACCACCGGTACCCACCCGCGCAAGCCCCACAGCCAAGCCCACCTGTACCGAGCTGAGGACAGCCAGGGGTCAGAACACAGCCTCTACCACTCAGGGAGCTCCAAAGACAGGGAGGGCAACATGGCAGCTGGTGGACAGGACACAGATTATGTAGACCCCAGCCCCAACAGCTCCACCGAGTCTCTCAACCAGAGGTCGTTGGAGATGGCCGCAGAGCTGCAGCATTATCAAGTGGAAATGCACAGCCTGCCTGCACAGTTGAGCCAGTCGCCACCACTGGCCCCACCCCCTCCGCCTCCTCTGTACAGCCAAGCATTTGGCTCCCTGGGACTTTCCAGGAAGGACAGTTTGACCAAGGCCCAGCTCTATGGAACACTTCTGAACTGAAGGACTTTCAATCAGGCTTATTCTTTGCTAGGATGTTAAATGCTTGGCCCTGGTGTGTCCAGCCACACCTACTGTTAGCACGGCCATTTTGATAAAAAAAAAAAAAAAAGATTTGAATAGAAGCCAGGAGCCAGATAAATTGGTTTCATGAAACAGAGTTTTATGTTACCATTGCTGATTATTCACAAGGGTTGAATGTATGGTTGGCAGCAGTTTACACTATAGCGGTCCAGAGGAAGTAAGTCATGCTTAAAGTTGGACGCCGGGGTGACTGAATGAGTGGAGCTCAGGCAGCCCTTAAATTTGTAAGAATGCGTATGGATTTAAATCTAAAATGTACAAATATATACTTACAACTACAAATTAAGTGATATATTTTGTATGTAGCTGTTAGCAAGAAATCCATCCAGAACAATCAAACAAAACGTGGATGCCCTTGATAAACCTAGAACCTGTATATAAACTAAAAACCGTCAACCCAGCATTTTAAAACTCTGAGGAAGTTTACCTGAGAATTGATGCCCAAATAAACTGCACATAGATTTGTATCAGTCATGATTTGTAATCACGTTGTGAAGATTTACAGTAAATATGAATATTTAACACAGCAGGACAACAAAAAGCAAATTAATCCCTCAAAAGAACTACAAGAAACACATTTTGTTTTTCTTGTGCTGATTGATTATGACAGTATTGGTGGGTGTCTTATATTGTTATTGATGGAATGTATTGAGATCTGTCTTAGCAGTCAGTATTACTTTATTTCTGCTTTTCTGTATCCTATGGAGAGGTTTTTCTGCCCCCGTTCTACCTCAGACTTGGATGCCCACAACCCATTAAGCCACTGTAACCCAGTTTATTTGACTACAATGCATGTTTATATATTTTGGTTGTTTTGTTTGCCTAATAAAGCACAAATTATACATATAAGCTCCCGGCCTTCCTGTAGTGTCCGGATGCAACGGTGTGGGGATTTATGCGCATGAATGAAATATGATGTTCTAATTCCCCTCTGCTTTTAAGTGAGGTCACATATGATCAGTTGAAATGACTTGAGTTGAGAGGAGGACCCTTCATCATTCAAACTGTGTGGTTTGTGCCTGCTGAGTCACTGTGAAGCCTTTCTTCATCACTGTGTTAATTTGAAAACAGGTTAGCAGAGAAGGATTTCTGCCCAGTTCAAAACAGAGATGAGGTTTGTGTTTCCCAAAGCCATCACCAAGAAAATCCTACAGTATAATGGAAGTGATTCTGTGAGTATTTGTAATAAAACACACTAACAGCTCAAATTCATCATACAGTGCATGATTTTGCAATATGTAAAAAGTGTTGAGCTTTAATAGATATTCAGGGGGCGAACAAAAGTTAGAGCTCAAATAACCCAACAATCAATCCAACTTCGAAGCTTGTTTTTCCACTGTGCTGCACACTTGCTAATTCTGCTCTTTTAGGGCAGTATATTACACTGAGCTGGCCAATTAATTGATTAGACATAAAAGTAATCACCAGCTATTTTGATGATCATTTCATCTGATTTCGTTTAGTCGTTTCAGAAGGAAAAAAGCCAAACACACCCTGGCTGCAAATTTCTGTGGGTTTTGCACAAAACTTTAGACATCACCTTGGACTTGAATATTTTATGACAATTTGCACAGCAGGCTATTCAATTACACCACTTGATTAATCAGAAAGAGCCCCACTGAGGTGTTACTTGTACTCGGGCCTTAAGTGATTGGTTGATTAATTAATTAACAAAGCTATGTTTCAGGCAAATATTCCAAATAATTTGTAATTGCAGCTTCCTAAATGTGTAATTTTGCTAATAATTTGTAGCACATTATTACAGTTTTCTTCTATATTTGACAATCAGAACATTCTGAGCCATTTCTCATAGATCAGACTCGATTAATTAATCAACTAATCCCTGCAGCTCTAAACAAGACACTAAGATCTCACACTGGGCTTTAGGATAATGGAGGTTTTCAGTAGTTTGAAACATTTCTAATAATTAGGCTATTACAATTAACTGTATGACATAATCAGCAGATTAAACAATGAAAACAACTCAAATGCAGCCTCCATATTCAGCTTGCTTAGTGAACAGCTGTTCTATTGGCATACTGTATACAGGACATTCAGTTATTTCAAAAGATTTCTTCTATTTATTCTTTTGCATCTGACATTAACATTATATTTGCTACTATATCTCCTTTCAGAGGTGAGAGAGGATTTACTTGTAAGATTGAATTCATCCACAGGAGGAAGCTGCGTCTCGCTGACCTGCGGGCTCGACTTTAGAGTTCCACCTCGTCCGCACACAGCGGAGAGCATTTACACTTCAAACATATCCAGCAGGTAAGCTAGATTAACAGCTACCCCCCCACCCCTATCCCACCCCCTTATTCTTTCTTTTGCACTGCAGGATACGTACATGCTATAAGATGCACAAATTCTGCATTCAAATACAGTAGCTGAACCACAAATGGATTTGCTCTCTGAGGATTTGCACAGCACAAGCAATAATGTGACCTCACACTGGAGGAAAGTGGGACAACTCAGCAACACTATGAAGAGATAGGTTCTCTCTGTTCTTGATGTGTGTGAGAGTCTTAAAACACTGCCATAAAGAAACAAATAGAACAAGATCCTCACTACTCTCTAGGTTTTGTATTTATAACCTCAGAGTAACCAGGCACTGGCTAGTTTTAGAAATGCTTTCAGTGCCTTTTTTCCCATTAAAGTCAGTTTACTCATCATGAGGATTACTACTTCTGATGGTATCAGAATAGTTTTAATTCACTGGAGTATTCCATTAATAGGTGTGTGCTACCTTAACATGCTTTTCAGTTTAGCCTCAAATTCCAAACCAGTCTTTCTGGGAAGTAAAAAAAAAGCTATAGGCACAGATACTTAAACACGTCTTTGGCACAATATGTTGGTCAATTAATGATTTTATTCCCAAGGCCAAGGTGGCAACTGGTATCTTCACAAGACAACTCTTACAAAACAGTCAGTGGGGTTGCTGGAAATCAATGATCTTGTCCAAAAATTCTTAAGTCCCCTGGAAATACCATCCACAGAACAGGACTCTGCTCAGTCAGCGAGTCCAACCATCTTCATGCTTATATCCCATAATTTCTTGGCTGCCTGGTCATCTGTAGCTTTGGCCATCAGTTCCTCCACCTCACAATTAGCGAAACACTTCCCCGACACTCCCTCCACCTCCGGGGAGCAGGCCAGATAGAGGGGAGTCTGAGCCCCCTCCAGGGGACTCTTGAAAAAAAGCTGCGAGGCGAGGTGAAACAGCGGCTTTGCCAGGAGGGGGATTTGAACATGCCTCCCGAGTCTGGTCCTCACGATGCCCGGGGTGAGAGCGTTGACTGTGACCCCGGTGCCCTCCAGCTGACGAGCCAGTTCGAGTGTAAACAGCAAGTTGGCCAGTTTACTCTGGTTGTAGCAGAAGGCTTTATCATAGTTCTTTTCACTGTTCAGGTCATCAAAGTTGATGTGACCATATTTGTAAAGCTTAGAGGAGACCACGACGATACGGCTGGGTGCTGAAGCCTGCAGGAGGTCTAGCAGGAGGTGAGTGAGGAAGAAGTGGCCCAGGTGATTCACACCCAGCTGCATCTCAAAACCATCCTCCGTCTTCGTGTAG